TCAATCTTCGCTGTGGAAAGAGAACACCATGTGCAGGATGAGACCTGACTTTTTAATTTAAACCAGAAATGTTCCTTCAGAATAGGTGGCTGAATTCAACCGTGTATGTCAGGTATCTGAAAAAGAAAAAAAAAAAAAAAAAGTGAGAAAACGATTTTTTAGAAGCCAAACAGCAAAGCAATCCACAGCATGTTATTGAAAAAGATTGTGTTGTAATTCTGCAGCTCCCTTACTATCACAGTATCACAAGGCCATGAATTATTAATACAGAAAAGCTGAAAAAATTGAGAGAATTAAAAATTACTCTACTACATTTTGTTGATTAGGATATTTCTTCTGGTTTATGTAGTTTGATAGCAGAGAAACCATGAATCATGTCACCATTGCAAGCCTTGATGGTGACATTTTCATGAACCTTCCATGGTGCTAATTAGGCACTGATGCATCTTATGGAAATTGGTTTAAGATCACCATAGCATGGGACAGGCAATAGTTTACTCAGGGTGCATTTTAGATGACCTCTCAACTATTAAAATCAAAGTTGAAATCCTGGAAAGGAAAAGGAGACCCAAAACATTAAAAAAAGGGGACTAAATATTGTTTGATAGCAGTGTGATTAAAGCATTCACCTGGGAAATAAGGGAATTGGTGAACTAACAGGCATTCAAGACTTGTAGTCAGGTCATCTGCCTGCCAGAAGAAAAGCCTAATAAAAAATTCTAAAATTACACCCAAGCTAATTGATCCCCCAAATACTTCATCCAATGGACCCAGAATCAAAAGTGATCAAGTTATCGCTATTCAACTGAGATGCAATTAATATTCCTGCACATATGAATATCCCCCCCCCAAAGCCCCTCTTAGTTTAAGCTGCTTTTATTGTACTTATAACCCTCATGGTGTTATATATAGTGTTTGGGGTTTTTTTATGTTGTAATTGTTCCACCCTGAGGACATAGGCCTATCAGTTAATGTGCTCACTTATGCCATGTCACATACTAAGCTTTTGTAAGAGTATTTCTTTGATGTTGAGCTCTCATGGAAGAGAGCACAGTCCAATTTTTGATCTGTTATCTTATAAGAATGGTTATTTTTAAGCAGCAATCCCCATTACCAACCATCTTCACATGATGGCTAAATCTAACTGACGTCAGACACAGCCAAGTTGGTAGTGATGAAGCAGCTCTGAAACGAACCAGAAAGCCATGTCCATGGGTCAGGGTCTGGGTCAATGGGACACATGATCTGTCATGGGCACAGCTACAACATCCACTGCAGACAACCTCCGGTGGGGGCCAGGCGTGAGAACATCAGCTTACGAGTCATTCCAAGTGAAGAAAAGGGGAGCCTCCACTGAGGATTCTTGTAACTCCACCTTTGAAGGCCACCGGCTATATTACTTCTCATCTTGTCCTGAGCCCAGGCAGCCAAACCCCAGAAGGGGTAATGATGGTGAGGATGTTCTCAGAAGCCTTAGAGGCGTGTTCAGTTTCCCAGGTCATCTTCAGAATGAAAAAATCTCTGCTCTTCCAGTGGAAAATAATGTTAGCCTTGGCATCAACAAAGGCCCAGGAAACATTACAGGTTACACTGCTTTCTGGTTCACTTGATGGATAAATTATCAGTGGAGCAAATGTAATCTCACCGGTCTGAAGCAGGAAAATACATAGCGTATCTACCAGGCACAACAGAAATGTTGCTAACTCCAAACTTTTAATATGCAATATGCATTCACTCTTCTAAAGCGTGAGATCCACCTCTTCTAACTGAGGGAACGTTCACACGTCTGAATGTAGATATCTGGTGTCATTTGGGAAGCCCTAGAGCACACTGTCCAGCCTCTGGTTTTCACTCCAGAGGGTCACAGCTCTTCCATGGTCCTGTGTCAGAGTGGTCACTCCAAGCTCTTTTTGTAGTTAATGGGGAAAAAGGGCAGCTGCATAAAATTATTTATTTGATATATCTTAAATTTCTGTTTTAAGATGAGATTAATGACGCTGTAGAGCTGCTTCTTTCTCTCCATCAGTGACAAAGGCAGCCTGGAGTGACTGAGTTCATAATCTCTAGCTTTGAGGCACATAAATCAGAGCAGATGAATTCCACCCGCTCTGTCTCCTGTGTCTGACCTGGAGGGAAAAGCAAAGATACCCAACAGACAATAACTTCCCACTAGCAATGAAATGATCTTTCCTGACATCAGTTTCAGTGACCTAAAGCTCCTGTACCAAAATCTTATTCACTGGCCTATTCTTTTAAAAACATAATGGCATTCATTCCAATAATTAGACCCCTGCATGTCTTGAGCCTTACACTGAGCACAGCTTACAAGGGGGATGGAGATAGGAATAATACTGTATTATTTACACATAAGCCTCTTGCTCCAGTAGCTGGTTATAAATTACTTCACATCCCAAGACAATATAAGCCACCAATACCTCAGTGTAACACTTCATCTCCATGAGAAAGTTAAACAGAAGGCCCAGCTCATGATTATCTTGTAGGAACTACCATTTTTGTCCTTAGCAATTGAAAAGAAGTGGGAGATACAACAAACCCTACTCCTTCGTGCTAACTACTGTGATATTGGCAGGCATTTTGTCCTTGAATTTCAATGGCATTGACCAATCTCTTTGGGCTTTATTTTGAAAGCTGACAGTCTCACCATTTATCAATCTCCAGGAAATATGGTGCTAGTTAGCCTGGCAAATTTTTCTTAAATGTGAGCAGAGAATTTCCTGGCTTAGCTGAATTCCAGAGTGCTTTTAGGAAAACAATAGATCTTGATTTTGAAGTGGTCAGAGAAAAAGCACGTACCCCATTCCCCTTCAGTAAATTTTTTTCCCTGCTTGGTGTCACTGTTAAAAATGCACATTTATGTTTAGTATGACCTTGCCTTGAGTCCTTGCCCAGCTACTGGGTATATTTTTTGTCTGCTAGTCTGAAAAGATCTGTGACATCCATTGGTTGTGGCAATGGGTAGGAGCACGGTGATACCCCACTGCTCTGAACAGCAGGGCAGACCCAGCTGTGTGCTTTCCAGATGTGGTACCTTACCCACTTGCAAGCTGCAAGAAATGTTGTGCTGCAATAACACCATATGGGTACCTTGCTTTCCTTTTGTAAGGCAAGTTACAGCTCAATTACCCCCAGCTTGTTGCTGACCCTCATGGAAGAGCAGGGATAAAAGCATCTTGATTGCTTCCCCAATTACAGGCTATTACAATTTCATGTTGGTTTAGGCAATTCACTTCAGCTTCAAGTGTCTCATCCTGTTGTGACATTTCAATGGCTCTGAGCATGGTGGTTCCACTACAACACCTCTGCAGCAAACTGTTTAAGGGGAGTGATATTATTGGCAGCAAAATTCAGCAAAGGGATAGAGAAGCTGCTACAGCTTCCTTGGTAACTTTACACCAACCTCAGAACACTGAGAAAGATGTTTTATTGCTTTCTTTTTCCCTTTTGTTATATGAAGAGATCATGCAGAGTTTGTTCCTGGTTAACACGATCCCTCTTTACTTAGGAGAGGCTGGACAGGTACAGGACAAACTTCTGGGGAGTAAAATTTACACCAGGAAATGGTCTGTGTGATGTGAATGCTGTCTGCAAAATGGTTTTACTCCTGGTATATGAGAAATGCTCACACTTGGAACCAAACACGCAGATTATTCCCCTCGTTTCCTTGGATTAGTCTCAAAGGCCTAATACATTGCTCATGGTGATATAAAACCAGAGATGAACCGACTTTTAAAGTGCACAGAAAGCTGGATGCTTGCTCCTTTCTCATAGTGTTGATGCAGCATGGGGGAACTCCAGTCAAAATAAGAGACAGAACATGTAAAACAGATCATACAGCATCTTCCCAAGCACCCATTTCCTGCAGAACCCATTTACATAAGGTATATAAATGAGGTTAAGAACTCAGGTTAGAAATTTGTGCTTTTATTTAGAATAGAATAATCCCTTTAGCTATTTTAAAGACACCCACCAAAAAGCAACTCTAAAGTTCATAGACACCATGAGATCTCATGCTTCTTGACATGTGTTTATGATCTATGGGCCAACTAATTTTGTGATTACTTATTTCTGTTTCGTCTATCTTTTCCCTGAAGTTGCTGCTTTGTTGTTGTCAGAAGTAGTACATAGATGAAGCAATGATGTACTCAAGTGAATTCCAGTTCTAGGAAACCAACCAACAGTCATTTCATGACAATGTATTGTCTGAATTATGATTAGATTTACAGATGAAAATTCTGAAATAATGTATAAATTTAAGCATGAAGGTAAAATTTATCTTTCTAGGAGCAAAATCACCAGCTGCATTTTTTACTCATGTAATGAAGCCTAGCTCATGGAAAGCAGCATGAATAGTAAGAGCATGATGGAGGGATTTAGGAGATCTGGGTTCTATTCTTGGCTTGTGCTAAATGGATTTGGATGAGTCAGTTAAAGCGTATATTGTGGCTCTTGTTCTGGATCTAATCTGAAGGGTTCACAGCATTTCCATGCCAAACTCCTCACTGCTCTTTCTTCAGCTGGAGGTCCACAGCCCCAGCATATACCTACCACAAAAATGGTATAATAACAGTAATGCAGTGTTGAAGGGTGACAGTACATCTTAATTGGTTCTGTCGTTTCCAGAGAGATAATGAATTTTAGTTGTTGATGTTCTGATGCTCAGAAACACCAGTAGCATATATAGTTTAAGCTAATGGTTTATAATGGGTTTGGTGGGAGGAACATGCTCAGTCCTTTACCGCAGATCAGCTGAAGAGTGAGAATTCTTTATTTTCAGGTAACTCAATTGCTTTAGACTGTGTGATCATATCCCTCAAGGAGATACTTCCACTGATGTAAATGGTTGCATGTTCCCACAGTAAGAAACTCTTCTGAAATGAATTTTTCTTCCTGCTGCCTCCTCCTGTAAATGGGCCAGCCTGTACTAGACAGAAGTCTGCTGAGTAAACTGAGTACTCTTGCTTCCCTCTCTCTTTTCCCAGTTATCACACTCTGCTGTATCTTCAAGTGCCGGATTCCGCGGACAAAGAAAGAGATTGAGGCACGATACGCGCAACGGCAAGCAGCCAAGACATATGCAGACAAACTGGAGACTGTGCCTCCGCTCAATGAGCTGACAGAGATTCCCGGAGGTACTTCCCATGTCCACACCTACACATGAGACCCATCTCTTGTTTTGGGGTTGCTTTCTCTATTCACGAATGCAAAGGGCTAGGTCCTTCCTTAGTCTGAAACAAAGTGGCTCCTTGGACAGAACTATTAGATATTGCCATGATTTGGTAGACAGTTCCCATTCTTATGCACCAAACCTGCAGCATTTATGGCATCAGGCATGACCAGTTAGATGAAAGGGACAGTTTCTCCATTGGTACAAGTCAGAGCCATCCATTTGAAGTTCATGTTTAAAATTTACAGAGAGAGTGATTCATTTTAAGGACCAGTTCTTGTGTTGGGGCATAGAGGGAGGTGTAGTAAGAAGAAACATGGTTGTTAGAATTTCACATTACCCATATATAGCTTATATAGCATCCCATTTGGATGGCCAAGAGTATTTCTGTCACTGGTCTCTGCTCCTCTCACTCATATTTCCTGATTCTGTACCCTAGGCTCTACTGAAACTCTCCTAACCCTCTCTGGTCATGTCCAGTCCAGACCTCTCAACTCCCTGCCTGTGGTGAAAGAGGAAGATGAAATGGCCCAGCAAGGAAATTAGGGGACTGCCTTCCTGTCTGTCCATCTATGGCTTCTCTTTTCTGATGAGATTCATCATACCTTGGACTCTCTGCTTCTCAGTTCCCTTTCTGCATTTCACCTCTGTTTTCTTTGTACTTTTGTAATGTTTTTTTTAAAATATTATTTATTTAAATTTTAATCTCTCCTGTGTCTCTGCAAGCCTTGTGGTCTGTAGCTTCATGAAAACTGGGAGTTTCCTTCACTTACAATATGATGCTTCAGTCCATGAAAATGGTGAAAGAGTCCATCTGAAATGGTGAAACTGTAGAAATTTAGTCCTACACCAGCAAAATACAGAACTAAGTGCTTAGCAGGAGGAACTTGCACATATCTCAGTATTTCAGATATTTCAGAGGTCTTCCTACATCAGACTTCACATACACTATAAACTGAGGATGGTCAGACCACTCTCTGGAGCTAACCCCACTTGGCATGAATAAGCCCTTCTCCGTACAGTTAAATTCTCTTAACCTACTTTAAGGTCTAGTTAATGCACTCTTACATGTATGAGCAATCACACATGGAAGTGCTTAGTATTGTATCTTTTGATTTAGGGATGTCATCCAGAGGGACCTGGACAGGCTGGAGAGGGTGGCTTGTGCCTAACTCATGAAGTTCAGCAAGGCCAAGTGCAAGGTCCTGCACTTGGTTTGGGGCAATCCCAAGCACAAGTACAGGCTGGGTGGAGAGTGGATAGAGAGCAGCTCCGAGGAGAAGGACTTGGGTGGGGGTAGTGGTAGACGAAAAACTGAACATGAGCCAGCTGTGTGCGCTGGCAGCCCAGAAAGCCAACCGGATCCTGGGCATAAGAAGGATATAGACTGATTGGAGCGAGTCCAGAGGAGGCCACAAAGATGATCGGGGGGCTGGAGCACCTCTCCTATGATGAAAGGCTGAGAGAGTTGGCCTTGTTCAGCCTAGAGAAGAGAAGGCTCTGGGGAGACCTTATTACAGCTTTCCAGTACCTGAAGGGGCTACAAGGAAGTTGGGAGGGACTTTTTACAAGGGTCTGTAGTGACAGGACAAGGGGTAATGGGTTTAAATTGAAAGCAGGAAGGTTTAGATTAGATATCAGGAAGAAGTTCTCCAGAGATAGGGTGGTGAAGCATTGGGACAGTTTGCCCAGAGGAGCTGTGGATGCCCCATCCCTGGGATTGTTCAAGGCCAGGCTGGATGAGGCTTGGATCAACCTGGTCTAGTGGAAGGTGTCCCTGCCCATGGCAGGGGGGTTGGAACTGAATGATCTTTAAGGTCTCTTCCAACCCAAACCATTCCGTGATTCTATGATTTCCTGCCCAAAAGACCAAATTCTGATTCTGTAAGGACCAGCTATCAGTAGATCCCAGAACGTTTGAAGGATCATGCCTCTAGATAGCAGAAAGCCAAACTCACTCATTTGCTGCTGCATCCTCCTCCTGCCTAGCTGTTACTTCTGGAAAAACAATAAATTAAGGATGAAAATATCCAGAAGAGACAGAAAGGGTATTTGGGCAACAGAATGACTGCTTCATCCCAGTAAGATAATCAATTTTGATCTTCTGTAAGCAGCCTTTCACAAACATGTACATGCACTCCATGCAAAGGCTGTCTATTTTGGTGTAGATTTAATTAGACCATGGTAAATTACTGCAGCATGAACTCATGAATAAATTACCACAAGAAAGCAATTTATGGGAAGTCAGCAGTGCCATAAACACTACCTAAACTTTTATCCAGTTAAATGTGTAAGTTGAATAGTTGACCACTGTTTGAGCTTTTGAGAATCCCAGAATTATGATCCTGTCAGGGTGCAGGGTTGGAGGCTGGTGGATAACATAGTGCTGAGTGGCTATTGTTGTCTGGTAATGCCTCATGAATACGTGTGCTCCGAAGCTCACAGTCCTCTGGGGTCAGACATAAATCTGCCCAAGTTTCCCTGAAAGGAACTGGTACTGGGGTGGGAGTCATCTAACCACAAATACATTATCCACATCTGTGGAGAAGTCTGCATCAGCACGAGTTGTCTCAATTTTATCCGCAGTGGAAAATAACAAGGATGTGATTCCTTTCATGGTAGGCGAGGTGCTAAAGCAGAAGAGGTAAATCGTGCCTTAAAAATGCCTGTGTGTGTCCAATCCTGGGGACCAAAAAGAACTGACTCAGCTGTCAGCGCCTGAAGTGTTAGACGCAAAAACGGTGTGTGATGAAACCTACTGGTTTGCCCTTCTTCTGAGATTAGTGTGCATCCTGTCCCCAAAAAGGTTTCACTACATGATTTAGGCATTACAATGGAAAGTATGCAAACCTTAGGGTTTCATCTCCGTGATGTTATTTTCATCTGTACAGAGTGTGATGTTCTGCCATGTTGCCCCACTGACATTTGGCAACCCACCTTGATTTATGCAGTCATGAAATATAACGTATGTATGTCAACTATTTATATACTTCCACTGTGACAACTCCTGGTAGACCCAGTCAAGACCAGAGAAATAACTTGAGTGATTTTAATTACTGAGTGGCTATTAAATGCTTTAAAGATTTCTGTAAGTATCAAATGCTATTAATCATGAATGTATTACAGTGCTTAAATATTCTCATTTCTTGGCATTATTTCACCCTACTTCGCAGTTACTATTATGGAGTATTCTAACTGCCAAATGGCTCTCCGTGCACTTCTTTGAGTGTCATATATGGCAAGCCCTTTTACTGGACATAAATAAAATGGACTTTAGGCTTCAGTGCATAAAATGCTACATACAAATTGATTAATTTGTGCTGTCTCCCAGTCTGTGGGATAAGTACAAGCAGGACTTGGCCTTTGCTCTAGGTGGAGATGTACTGTCTGGATCCATGGCCTGGGAAATCTTCAAGTATTCTAATCTAAGGCTTCTCTGCTGACATTTCTGAAGTTCACCTGGTTCCTACCATATTTGTCCAGAAAGCAGACAATGTGTTTTGGATTTGTTTGTTTTGTGTGTGGGTTTTTTTTTTTTAATTATTCACTCTCCTTTTTTTAATATATATATATATAAAATGTCAGGACTTCCCCTGTGGTTTTAAGAAAAAGCCTGTGTTGTTCTACTCTCATTTGTATATACAAACAAATTGCCAATTCCCAAGGTCAAAGGATGATATTTTATTTTCATTTACACACTGAAGCAATATTTTAGGTAAACTTCACAATTTCAGTTTTGATTTGCACCTATGTATTTGTCATATATTGCTTCAATTTGAAAGTAACTCTACAGACTTCCATAGTAATGGGAGATTTGGGGCTACTTAAACAGGTTGGAGTCCAGTGGCTCCAGGTAAGGATTGAGACATCTTAGCAAAAGCTCATTGCAAATTACCTTCTGAGCCAGTTCAGTGTCATCTTTCCTCAGCCTGTGACAAACGTGAAATAATGTGACTTAGCCTTGGTGCCAGTTGAGGGAAGCTAAACAGTGACCAGTCATCCTCCGTTTGCTGAGGTCACTCCCAGGTCACTGCTACATCTTGCCTTATTTTAATTATTACTTTGTGTTAACATGGTTATCTATTGACATTTCTGAGTCCTATATTGGGGATTTTCAGAAAATTAGGTCACAGGAAACAACACATTTTCACTTGTTTTTGTAAACCTTTATACTCTGCTGTTCTTTAGCAAAGGAAAATCCACAAGAAATACATGAAAAATGATCTGTACTTAAGTGTCAAGTTTCAGCTTGAGATGTGAGTTCAGTGCATCAAGCTCTGAGGTCAGAAATACTTTTGAGAAAATGAACCTCTTGTAGTAGAAGAAAAATAAGGAAGACGAGGAAAGCTTTTCTGCTACCAAATCCTTTGTCAGAATAATTTAAGTCTGCACTGCCAGTGTCGTACTTGAGTCTTCTCACCTGAAATGTAGGTACTGAATCTAAGATATTCCTAAGTAAAAATATGTCATAAGTAAAAATATTATAAGCTACCTATAACTAATATGGCTTGTGTGTTAAAACATACCAAAACAAAGCTTACTGTGCACTAGAGTTAATTGCCATATGCCCATGGTATGTTGCTGCCATTAATTACAGCAGTATAGGCTTGAGGCCCGCCCCATGGTGACTGGTTGTGGACAGGCCATAAGCTAAGTGTACTTTGTAGTCCTGTGCTGGGCAAGCCATCTTCTACTTGTCTGTTTCTGGGAGCGAAGATCCCCAGCAGAACCCCTACAGTCCACTCTCAGCTGCGGGAGACATTCCCCATACAGGAAAACAAAGAATTGGAAAAGCCAACCATCCAAAAAAACCCCAAGACAAACCCAAGCCAGGTCTGTACTGATATGCATGAGAGATGTTTCTGTTCCCTCTTGTAGAAGGCGACAACTCCACACTGAATGTCATTGTTGGGAAATGCTCATGGCCTGTGGTTGTAATGTTCACAGGTCGGTTCCTACCAAGAGGAGCCATGTCCTCCAACAGATCCACAACTCAGCTCTGGAAGTCACCAGTTCTGCTTTACCCCATTCATCTATATCCTTAAAACAATGACACGGAAAGATGGTAGTCAGTGAGGAAAACAGCTGTTTTCCTAATCTAAACTGCTTTCTAATCACAAAACAAAGCCCCAGTAGAAGTAATTTTTGTCCAAGATTTGCCAGCAGGGAGCAAGAGTTTTGCCTTCTTCCTGCCTCGTGTCAACCCAAACTAATTGCTTTCCTGTTTTCTTTTTCCATCCTTGCATACAGCTCAGGTTGCAGAAGAAAAAAAAGAAGAAGTTCCAACTGTATCTGGAAAAGTGGACAAGGCTCAGGGTAAGAAGGATGGATCCAAAGGCTCCAAGAAGAAGAATGGTGAAAAGGACCAGAAAGAAGGATCCAAGAAAGAAGGGAAGGATGGAACCAAAAAGAAAGAAGGAGAAAAGGGACAAAAGGGAGAAAAGGGGGGGAAGGACACTACTGACAAACAAGCTGGTGGGAAGAAGGGTGAAAAAGGTGAAGCAGTAAAATCAGGAGGAAGCACCAAAACTAATGACAAGGCTGGT